CTAAACCGACATAGACTGAAAATCCATAATCTTGGCTGAATCTCTAGAAGCAAAATGATTTGTAACAATTTCATATTACTCCCATCCCGATCCCATGCAATCGAATGTCCTATAATTAGATTAAATCGATGAGAGACCTGAAACATAATAACTTCAGTGGAAAAGGTCAAAGGCATTTGTTTCTTGTGAAATATCTATCTACTACCTGAGTTTACATTATGGAACCATAACAGACAATAATCAGACTCCAGTAAGTCTTTTAAATCTGCCATTTCATATATTTTGACCTTTTGGCCTTGGCTACTGCGAGGGTGTTAAACTCGAAGTGTTTACCAACATCTTAAGCTTTCAGATTAGAGTGCTGTGCATAAGTAATTATGAAATTAATCTTCATTTAGCGCATGTTGCATTAATCCTGCCAGCCGTGCTCTCCCTTTATTAGAAACAAGGTCACATCACAACGTATGTTATACATATTACTTAACTTTCAAGAAAATGTATCTGTAAATAAATATGCTCATTTTATTACATTTTTTATTTTATTTATCTATAGACATTTATTTATAGTGATAAAATGATTCATTACACAGTATGATTTCTATAGAATGATTATAACAACAAAATATAACAACAAAAAGGGGGGTAAAAGCTAGAAAATATTTAGATGGAAGAGAAATACATAAAGTTTTGTGACAAAAGATGTTTGTAAAAAAATGTATCAATAAATAATCCATACTTTGGAAAACTATTATTATAGTGGTGGATGTGAGGTTTCCAGGTTTGTTTTGATGGGTAAAAAAAAGTGAGGAGAAAAGCTTGCTATATCGTTTGTTGTTGATATCAAAGGCTGTTAAAACTACTGGAATTGAAGAGATAGCTATTTGTACATATGCCTATTCATTCTATGTCATGTTAATAATATTGCATGGTAGGCTATTTGCTATTTTTATTTGACCTTACCCTTAATAATTACTTCTGATAGTGTTTCCTAATGGATTCTGGTTGATTGAGTCATATATTTGTGACTTGAATAAAACATGTTACCACATCTAAACATCTTTTACAATGGTTCTAGCTTCTGGATCAAGAATGAAGATGAGTATGCCAATACCAATAGCATCACTTGTCAGGATCACTCTCTCCAACAGCCTCAGGGCAAAATCTATCGGCCTCTTTTTCCAAACATCACATCCACAGGCTCATGACAATTGCCTTACGCAACTTTTTATGTTCCGTAATATATGCATAAAGGAATAACCCAAATAGAAGTGACGAAAAGGTCAGTCAACTGTTTTCATCCATATGATATTAGTGTAAACACAGGATGCTGATCCAATAATGCAATAACACTAGACAGAGCGCTGATATTCTCCCTCCCTGTTTAACCCTTAAAAGGGCAGGAACATAAAATTAATTGAATTGAAAATTAAACATAGAATTAGTTTACTGATATTTTCCAGCCCTTTATGACTCCAATGTTTTGTTTCTTCAAAATGTTTTTATTTTCATTTCATTTTTTTTAATTTTAACTCTTCTTTTAATTTTATGAAAATAACATTTAGTAAATATATCAACATTCTGCCATGTTACTTTTTATATCAAGATGTTTTTTCTGGCATATTTTAGTCTCCTGATCCAAGAATTTGCAGGGACCCCCTTTTCAACACTGTATCCTTACAACAAAAAAAACATTTAAGGGTAAATCTCTGTCTGAGTACGAGCTGCCTACAACATTTTGAGCATCATAGGCGTGTGCAACATTTTTGGGCATCATAGGTTGCGGTACAGGAGAGCTGAAAAAAATATTGCTGCATGCAAAATGCTGTCTAGATCGGCAGCTTAGGCTATAGGTTTGAGACACAACCCACTGACCCCTGTTCCTTAAATCTGAAATGACTAAATCTGCGGTAGCCTAATTGCCTGCAGTAAACACGCAAAACGTGTTTATAAAACCTCGTGTTTACACGTTATGCGAGTAAACGACAAAATGGGCGATGCTGAGAGAATTAATTATTATGAACTCATCAGCATCACGGACGTGATCGAGGCCGTTTTAAAACATGTTACCTTTTACCGTAGATACTAATTCATGCTTTACCGTCGAGCGAAGTAAAGCTACACAAACGATAAATGACTTGAACCCATCTATTTTGCAAAGTAATAACTGCAATATTACCAGTGTGATGTCCAGCTCCATGTAAAGTCTCGGTAAAATCCAGTGCTCAGTGTTGATGGTTATAAGGATGCTGAGCAGAATGTCCGTCTGTGGTCCCTCCTCTACGAGCACCGGTGCCGTGTGTGATGATGATGATGATGATGATGATGCGCCGCCGCCGGTGCGTCACTCTCATTTATGGTGAAAAAAAAAAACACCCAGTCACATACAGTAGGCTTAGGCTACATCATGTAGACTAAAATGGCAAATAATTTTGATGCTCGTCAGACAGCTAAATATCTGGTTTAAAAAGGCTAATAATAAAATAAATGTATGTCAGATTTGTAAAAATGTTGTTTCTAAGAACTAAAATATAGCCTATGTATAAATTAGGAAAAAATCTCTTTGAGCAGAAACAACTGACTTTAAAAAATATTCATTTTACAATCCTTCGCATCACATTTTACTTTCTTTCCGAAGGATGCATAACTCAAGCCATGTACAAGATTATCCTGAAAGAAAACATGCTTCATTCTGCTCTGACAATGTCTGATGTTTTTTTTCCTGCAGGACCAATCCACACAGCCAGGCCAATTAAGCTGTGGATGGAGGACCACCAGATCAAGACCCTGTCATGGCCATCACAATCTCCAGACCTGAACCCCACTGAAAACCTCTGGAATGTAAGCAAGAGGGTCACCAGCCATTAAATAAAGCCAAGCTGCTTGAATTTTTTCGGCAGGAGTGGCAGGAAGTCGCCCAACAGCGAGCATGCCAAGACGCATGAAAGCTGTGATTGGAAATGAGGGTTGTAAAATTGAAAATAATCAAAGATATTTTGCTTTACTGCTTCAACCCCCTACCACAAGGCCAAGGGCCATTGGAATTCCTAAAGACAAAAAGGTGTTGATAGTGATCGAGACCTGTAGGCCAAGATGTGTGAACATCAGGGGTCTAATTAACACCTTTAAGTACGGTGGGGGAAGTTGTAATTATCTGATTGGTCAGTTTGAATGTCTCACATTTGGGTTTGTCACATGGTCAAGGAAGGGATAAAAGAATTTTGTAACTGTTGCTCTGGGCCCTTCTTTTTCGCTGGCTGTTCTTTGCTCTGGCCCTTCTTTTCCTTTTGGGTCCCTTTCTTGGGGCACTCTTTTTTTGCCTCCTCTTTGTCTCTTTCTCTCTACAATTTCTCTCTCTCTCTCTCACTCACTCACTCTCTCTCTCTCTCTCTCTCTCTCTCTCTCTCTCTCTCTCTCTCTCTCTCTCTCTCTCTCTCTCTCTCTCTCTCTCTCTCTCTCTCTCTCTCTCTCTTTCTATCCCTCGGGTAACATTTTACATATATGCTGGGTACGATTAATGTTATAAGTTCTTATCATCTCATATATTTTGTAACTATTTTAAGTGTAACCATTAATCAGATATTGTCATTAAACCATTTCAATTACAAATTATGTGCTAACTAGTTGCAATACAATATCGTCACACTAGCAACGCTCTCCCAAATATTTTGCTATTATAACTGCGCTTATTTCCGCCATTGGTATAAGTAGCAGTGGGTGGTAATAGACAAGAAATGCAACGTTTTAAAATCTTGCTGATAACGTTTCTTTAGTCATTTGGCAGTCCTGCAGCCTGAACCACTATAGGAATACCACACAGGGTCATTCAAATATTGATTACTGAACTTTCCTAAGTTAAAACATTAGTATTGTGCGTTTTTTAAAATGAATATAAACTTGTTTTCTTTTGTATTATTCAAGGTCTGAAAACATGCCTTCTTTTTTTGTTATTTTGACCAGCTGTCATTTTCTGCAAATAAATGCTCGAAATGACTATATTTTTTATTTGAAATTTGGAAGAAATGTTGTCAGTTTGTAGTCTAAAACAAAAATGTTCATTTTACTCAAACAGATACAAATAAAAATAATAAATCCAGAGAAACCGCTAATTTTGCAGGGGTCTCTTCATTTTTAAGAACTGTATATCGATAATCATTCTTATTCATTTTTTAAGCATAGCATACACGTAACAACATTATGATGGTATACCATCATGCTGTGACTGAATACTGATTGGAAAAAGCATTGATCCTGTCCTGTTATGTTTGTGCCAGTAGACTTGATTAACAGATGTGGTGTTCTGTAATGCTGAAGAGTACATCTAACAGATCTTTTGATGAAGAATAGTTTCAAGAAACTAGTCAGAGGCTGACAATGGTATATGTAGTCTGTAATTACTGTTTGTTTCATTTCAGATCCAACACTGTCTTCCTGGTTGTCCTTATGGCCTATTTAATTTGAGTGCGAGCTAATGAAATAGACTGTCAGTTCTGCTGATGCCCCTACACTGACAATATCATAAGGCCTATTTCATTATCTGTGCATAATTTCCATCTCATTGCTTTCAATCAATGTTAAGTTCGAAAATTTTTGGTTAATAAATCACAAGAATATTTCAAGCAGGACAGCATGATTAATGTAAATAATTCCAAGAGAAAAGAGGATTTGTTTTTAACTTTTATTAAACCTCTTCCAATAACAAAACATACATTTACATTGCTAAGCGCAAGTAGGCCTACAATAAACCTATTTAAATATTTAAAAAGAGTTTAGAAAAAAGAAATCCAAACTGTAGACAAGCAAATTACAAAATTAATTTAGAGCGCTTTAAGGCATTCAGCTGGTTTAAGGATTGACATTTTAATTTTTAAAAGACACAACACTAGCAATTTTAAGAAATCTTTGGGTAAACAACACATGAGAAAAGAGGAATTTGAACGATGTAAGTTTCACTTCCTCTTCTGTAGGTGTCGCTGGCGTCACTTTTCTATTTCGATCCAAAACATAACGAAGAAGACACACGAGCCTGTCAACAAGAGCTATCTGTCAAAGCAGCAGAAATCATGTCAACAGATCGCCCTCATCCAAACTATAAAAACGTTTACGGTTCAGAATTAATGTGAACTTTTCCCGGTGGTAAGTTTTGTAGAAACTGAAACGCTCATGTAATTAGTTTTCAGCATAGAGTACGCTAACTAGAAACAGCTAACTGTAAGCGACTGATTTTGTGTTTTTAGTCTTTGATATGTTATTCAGAGTAGTGCATATAGGCCACAAATAAAACGCTAACTGTTCTGCATAACCGTGTTTAACTCGATGAAGATAGGGAAAGCTGTTCTCTTGTGTTGTGTATTTGAGGCGTGGTTAAAGTGGTTAATGTTTGCTTGTGGGTGTGCTCACTATTTAGTTCATACAGATGTTTGGATGCGTTTAATACTGCTGCACGAGTCACTTGTTGTGTTAGATAGATCAATGACTAGCTGTGTTTCTGACTGCCCACGTGATTGAAATAAACAATACAAGTATAAAGCTGCACAGTGACTTCTGTATTATAATCAGCAACGCATAAACCTTTTATAATCTTGTACTTGGAAATGTCTGGCCCTTTTTTGCTCAGACTTCAGCAGGAGTGGGAGCACAGATCCACTGGGTGATCATGGCCAACCATCCAGCACCGCTGCCCTTGAGGGAGTTCTGCCCACTCTACTACCTTCTCAATGCTATCCCTGCTAAAGTCCAGAAAGGTTTCCGTTCGGTACTGGTCTACTTGACCGCACTGGACAGCAACAATGATTATATAGCCATTGGCAGCAGCATTGGCATGTTGTACCTTTACTGCAGGAGAGTAAGCCAGATGAACAAATACAATTTAGAGGTAAGTCTGCTTAGTGCTTCCTCTCTCTCTCTCTTCTGCAGCACTCACCGTGGATCTGATCTGGTTAGGTACTGTTTTCTGCTTCTTATGTTTTAATAGGGCAAATGTGAGGCCATTACTGCAGTGAAGTTGCTGAGTTGTTTCGATGATCTTGTGGCTGTTGGAACGGCATCAGGCCGGGTTGCTTTCTTTCAGCTTGTGTCACCATTGCCTGGCAGAAATAAACAGGTACAGTTTCATCTCTGATTACACCATTCAAGTAGCAAGGATTTCATTGAATTAGTGGTTAGGTTTAATATTTTTTGTTGTTCATTTCATGATAATACATGCTTAATTGGAATAGCAAGGGTTGACTATTTAAAATAGCATTTTTACTATTATTACATAACATTATTTTAGGTCTGTTTAAAGTAGCTGTTTTTTGTCCCTAATACCAGGAAAATGCATAGACTATTTGTCTAATTGATAATCTGATTTTTGATGAATGAATCTTATTAGTAAATGGGCCATGGTGTCACATTTTTGTCATCTTGCTGTAGCTGAGAAGGTTTGATGTGGTGGGCTTGCACAAAAGCACAATTACGGCATTAGCCTGGAGTGCTAATGGCATGAAGCTCTTCTCTGGTGATGATAAAGGGAAGGTGGTCTACTCTGCTGTGGACTTGGACCGAGTAAGCTTTTGATAAGTAGTCTATTTCAGATATTTACAGTTAGACAATAGAAACCTGTCTGTCTAAAATCTGATTTGTTTTACTGTCTAATGGCTTAATTTGTGTGTGTGTGTGTATGCATTGGTCTTTTAGGGAGTGTGTAATCCAGTGGTCCTTTTCGAAGAGACTTCAGCAATAGTTCAGTTGGAATATAGTCAGAAAGTACTTCTGGTTTCGTCCTGTCAGCGCTCAATGCTCTTCTACACGCAAGAGCAGTCGCATCAGCAGCTGGGCACTAAACCACGTAAAAGGTACGACATCTTAAATCCATCTTCGCCTGAAAGTGCTCTATCATTATCAGGGTTGCTCCACTCTGAGTTGCTTAATTCTTAATATCTGGCTTGTTTTTACAGCAATGGCAAGTTTGGTGCTTGCTTCCAGCCAGCTCTTTGCAAGCAGAGCGATCTGGTGGTTTACGCAGCCAGGCCAGGGTTGCGTCTCTGGAGGACTGATGTGCGAGGACGTGTCGGGGAGACTCATGTCCTAAAGCCCCTTTTTAATCAGGATGTACCTCAGTTTGAGCTGTTCCCACGTTCAGGCCCCACCGGTGGCTACAGACCTCCAGAAAGACAGTTAGGAATGGTCAGCTGCTTCTTGAAGGAGGGCTGGGTCCTCAGCTGGAACGAATATAGTGTTTATGTTGTAGACTGTACCAATCAGGTATGAATGCACACTTTGCATTTAAATTATATCCATAATTGAAATGTTGCCAATGCAAACGTAATTTGTACTGTTTTTTTCTCACTTATTTCATTTGCTCATTAAGGTTATCATTGGAGGATTGGAAAGCAGTGGAGATATAGTGTCTGTGTCGTGCACTGAGAATGAAATCTTCATTCTGAAAGGAGATCGGGACATTTTGCGGATCTCAAATTGCCCTGAGGGATTGGTTTCCAACTGTGAGTTGCAGTACTGATGCCATAATGGCAGTTTTAGTCATGCACTTTGCTCCATCAGCAGTATTCCGATATTAAGGGATAGGAAAAAGCCTCTTTTGCCCTTGGCACTCTGATAATTGTATTGTTTTTTTTTTATATCCTTCATAGAGTCGACTGGTATGAATAGTAGCTTCATGAGTTGTGGTTGTTAACGTGTAACAAATAGATGATATTTAAGTTATTAGCTGATACACTAAAATGATTGACCCCCAAATTTTGAATGGTAATGTTTTTGAAACTATCTCTTATTCCAACCGAGACCGCATTCATTTGATAGAAATTACAGTAAAAACAGTACTATTGTGAAATATTATAACAGTTTAAAATAACTAAAATACCCAAAAAAATTTAAACAAAAAACGTTTCTATTTTAATATATTTTAAAATGTAATTTATTCAAGAAACATTTCTTATTATTTATTTTCAATGTTCAATGTTCAATGTTATCAATTCTAAAAAAAGTTGTACTGCTTAATATTTTTGTTGAAACCATTTCTTTCAGGAATCTTTGATTTATTGAAAGTTCAAAAGAACAGCATTTATTTGAAATATAAATCTTTTGTAACATTATACAGTAAGTGTCTCTATTGTCACTTTTGACGGATTTAATGTATCTTTGCTGAATAAAAGTATTATTTTCTTGTTTTAAAAAAAAAAAAAAAAAACTGATTGACCCCAAATTGAAGGTAGTGTACTTTCTTACCAAAAATTACTTTTTGCCACCAGTGGTCCCAAAAATGTTTTTGGACACTTAAGTCACTTTTTGACCGCGAGATGATTTAAATTCTGCTGTAAAGCAGCTCTACATAAGACAATAGTGCCATTATTTAGCCAATATTCAGTGTTGATTCAGTTCAGTTCAATAAATGAGTAAAATTCATGAATTATGAAATGAGTTCAATTCAGCTATAAGCAGCACTGCGGAAAACAATATAGATAGTATCAGTGCAGTCAAATTGATAATATTACTGAATACTAAGTGTCTTTTAAACCCCAACTAAGCGTGCCAAAGGCAACAGTGGCAAGGAACCCAAACTACATCAGGTGACAGAAATGGAGAGAAAAAACCTTGGAAGAAACCAGGCTCAGTCCTCTTTCGATCTATTAAGTACATTGTGTATTTAGTGCGAGTTCCCTTAGGTTTATACAGGTGTCCTATGAAAATGTTCCAAATGAACAACCATGGTGTGATTTATTCCAGGCTGCATCTCAAGAATTATGGATTGATATCATTCAAAATGATTTATTCAGCTCCTTCTACTTAAAGAACTAGATGTCAATGCTGGCATTTGGTGGGAGGAGAACGTTTAGCCAGTAGTGGACCAATGGCTTATTAATGACTGTAAGCACGATGAATCTGCATTGCGGTCCTAGCAGGTCCTTGCACAACCTGTTCGTAGCTTAGCATAGGTGACTGTACTGAGGGCTGTCTATTCGGCGAGCTATTCGCAGTGGATCTGTCCCTAGGGGTCGTCTAATTGTCGTGGTCTTTGCTAGTATTTAAGGGCTGCGTTGTTGTCTTTGGGTGCAGGTCCAGCATCTGGTCTGGAAACGGACCAGATTCGGCTGACTACATTAACCTTGGGATTAGTATGAGACAGAAAGATTCCTCTGTCGATCTATTAAGTACATCATGTGTATTTAGTGTGAGTTTATACAGGTGTCCTATGAACTGGTTCCAATACTTTTGACAAACAGAAAGTGTCAATAATACTTTTGAGGCCACTTACCTATCTTTGCTTTTCTCTCCCCTCAGTATTAGACCACTCCTACCGTTTTACATCTCCTCTTTCCACACCCACCATTTTGCTGCCTCCTAATGGTGCTGTGGAAAACGCTCAGCCAATCAGGACAATGCCCATCATTACAGAGCAGCAGACTCAAGCCAGTCCCAGCTCAGAGGAGGTACATGATGGGGTTGAGGAATCAGAGGAGGTGCAGGAGGAGCAGCATTTTGAGGGATTCAGTCATGCGGTTGAGGCTCTGGAGGTGGCAGAGGACTTGGAGCAGCAGCGGGCCAGTTCGGGTACAGTGGAGTCCTGCAGCCGCAGCAGCTCCATCACCTCATGGGAGAGCGCACAGGGCATGCTCACCGCCACAGAGGCTTCCACCTCAGAGCTCTCCTCCAGCAGATACAGCGCCATCACCCAAGAAGACTTCCAACAGGAGCTGGTGGTCAAGGCCGTCAAGCTGAAGAAGAAAGGCAAGAGGAGACGGCAAGGTAAGAGGATTAATATCACATGATGTGGTGTGGTGTGATGTATGAATTTGATCCACTGACGTACTCCATAAATTCTTGTAAAACTGTAGATAGTGGGAATCGTGTCAACGAGCGCAGCAGCTGGTCGGAGAGCATTTTCAGCCAGGACGGTGCCGGCAGTGACTTTCTAAACACACCCATGAGCGAGCCTCCTTCTGACCACACCAGCCTCCTGTGCAGCAGCCTCGACCTGCACAGCACCTGCTCACCCGACCAGGACGGTTCCGTCTGCAGAGAATTCCACAGTTCTGATGCTATCCCCATTCAGAGCCCATCAGAACCCTTACAGAGTCCAGAGACTCGACAGGATCCAGTTAACCAAACAGCAGAGACCTTGCTGCCTTGCCTTTCATCACTGTCACTACAAGACATGGAGTGTCAGGGGTACAGTGATAATGTGTTTGCAGAAAACAAGCAAACTGCAGCTACGCCTGATGTGGACATGCTGCTAGAATGTACCTTCTCGTACATGCAGGCAGCTGATGAGCAGGATGTCATGAAGGAATATGTGAAGGAGGGCAATGATGCCCTGGAGGATTCAGAGCAACATTTTAAAAATGGTTTACATGGGGACTTTAATTTGGACTTGTCTTATGATCCCATTAGACCACTGGGTTACTCCCCGGAACCTGAGCCAACGCCATCTAGTGACGAGGAGGACATCTATGCACACGGAGTGCCATCCAGTGCTAGTCTGGGGGACGGACTAAACGCTCTGAGTCTGCAGAGCTCATCTGCTAATCAGAAAGAGGATGAAGAGATGCAGCTCCTCAAAGCTGATCAGGTTAGAGAGCTAACCAACTAATAGATCAGAGATCTGTTTCATATCAGAATACAGTTACTTATTTCATTTATATAATTGTGTAATATACACTACCGTTCAAAAGTTTGGGGTCAGTAAGATGTTTTAATGTTTTTGAAAAAAGTCTCTTATGCTCACCAATACTGCATTTATGTGATCAAATACAACAGTAATATTTTTACAGTTTAAAGTTCAATTTAGTTTTAATATATTTTAAAATGTCATTTATTCCTGTGATAGCAAAGATGAATTTTCAGCATCATTACTCCAGTCTTCAATGTCACGTGATCCTTTAGAAATCATTCTAATATGTTGATTTGGTGCTCAAGAAGTATTTCTTATTTTTATGAAAACAGTTGTGCTGCTTAATATTTTTGTAGAAACTGTGAAAAATATTTTTTTCAGGATTTTTGTTGATGAGTAGAAAGTTTAAAAGAACAGCATTCATTTGAAATGGAAATCTTTTGTAACATTAAATGTCTGCTGTCACTTTTGATCAGTTGAATGCATCCTTGCTGAATAAAAGTATTAGTTTCATAAAAGTATTTGATCCCAAACTTTTGAACGGTAGTGTAATTTTTTTTTGTGTGAAAATCACCATATTAAATTACTAATTTAATACTGATGTCATGTATTCTGTGTTATCTATTTAAATCTCTTTCTGTATGTATTTTTCTTTGTTTGAAGTTGGCTGAAAGTTGGATGGGTTACAGTGGGCCTGGCAGTAGCATCCTCAGTCTTGTAGTGACGGACAGGTTTATCTGGTGTCTGGACTTCAAAGGAGCCCTTTTCTGTAGTAGTCTTCTTAACGGTAACTTGAGCTGGCAGAGGTTTGAGGAAAACGTCCATCAGGTGGCTCTGTCCCCATCAGGTAAGGGGCTTAGATTCGTTTGTTATTAAATAAGCGTACACCAAAACAAATATTAGTTGATGGGGTTCTGGACTAAGCCTAGTCCTGGAAAAAAAAATATTTTAATCCAGTATTGCTCTTAATATTAAATGCACACTACCATTCAAAGGTTTAGGGTCTGTAAGGAATTTATACAACAATGATGCATTCATTGATCAAAAGTGACAGTAATGTATAATGTTAAAGAATATTTCAAATGTTCTATTATTTTGAACTTTCTATTCATCAAAGAATCCTGAAAAAATGTAGCACTGATTCCACAAAACTATTAAGCAGCACAATTGTTTTCAACATTGTTAAAAATCAGAAAGATTTCTGGAGCAGCAAATCGGCATACTGTAGCAAAGGTTGTCACCCTACGAGCAGTTTGTCAATCATAAAGCAATGTACTAAACAACACTAACAGCAGCTAGCATTATACAGTGTTTTCATTTGTAAAGTTTCTTTAAAAACAAGAATGACTGCTCTCTACTTTTTAGAATTGCATGTTACATGTTACATTGTATGTTACATGGTCCATTGTCCTTTAGTATATGGTAATGACATTCAGTTACATCTAATTGTTTTGATAGTATTTCATTTTTAAGATTTGGAATATATTTCAGTGTGGTATTACTGTAGTAATGTAAGCATGTTCAAATTGGCCTGTAGGTACGGTTGTTGTGAGAAAATTCATGTAATTTGAAAGATAGTCATTGAAAGCATTTTGTGCCAAAGCAATGATAAGTAATCCACAGTTTAGCCCACATTGACACTGCTACTCACTGTGTGTCGAGTTTTGGAAAAGTGATTTAAGTATTGAGAAATGGGTCTAAGAATATATATATATAAATATAAAGTAAACAAATAAAATAAAATGTTTAAATAATTTTAGTTCAGCCCATTTTCAAAAACGAATACTTTATCTATTAAAAAAAATAAAATTTAAATAAAAAGTAAATGTACAGTTTTGGTCTGATCTCGCTGATGTGTTTTCTCAGGCTCATTGCTGTGGAAGGTGGAGCAGAAGACCATGACTGCTTACGCTTGCGGGAAAGTCACCATCAAGGGAAAGAGACACTGGTACAAAGCCATGGATGATACGGCATTTGTGGCACTTAGTGATGACACAGCCTGGATCATTCGCACCAATGGAGACCTGTACCTACAGACAGGTGTGACAGAATAAACACACTATACTAACTTCGCATTACAATAACATATTCTGCTTAAAGGAGTAGTTCACTTTTAAAAAAAACTTTTGCTGATAATTTACTCACCCCCATGTCATCCAAGATGTCCATGTCTTTCTTTCTTCAGTCGAAAAGAAATTTTTTGATGAAAACATTCCAGGATTTTTCTCCATATAATGCACTTTACTGGGTACCAAATTGGGTTTCAGTGCAAACTGCAAACTGTTCAAAGGGCTTTAAACGATTCCAGACGATGAATAAGGGTCTTATCAAGCGAAACGATCGGTCATTTAAAAAATAAATAACAAAGTTTAAGTTTTATAAGCTCAAATGCCCGCCTTGCTCTGTTCTGTGATGCACGTTCGTGACTCTCCTGTTCGAACTCGTTCATCAAAATGAACAAATCTTTTTTCGAGTCATTTGATTCATTTAACGACCGAAATGAACGAATTGACTCGGAAAAAGATTTGTTCATTTTGATGAACGAGTTCGAACAGGAGAGTTACACAGAACAGAGCGAGGCGAGCATGTGAGCTTATAAAACTTAAACTTTGTTGTTGTTTTTTTAAATGAGCGATCGTTTCGCTTGATAAGACCCTTATTCATCATCTGGTGTCATTTAAAAACCATTTGAACAGTTTGCAGTTTGCACTGAAACTGTCATTTGGACCTTGAACCGTTTGGTACCCAGTAAAGTGCATTATATAAATCCTGGAATGTTTTCATCAAAAACCTTAATTTCTTTTCGACTGAAGAAAGAAAGACATAGACATCTTGGATGACATGGGGGTGAGTAAATTATCAGCAAAAGTTTTTTTTAAAGTGAACTAATCCTTTAATGACTCTATAAAGCTTGTAATTGCGTAATCTGTATTGATGTTAATTCATACTACGTATATAAAACAGTACTACTCACGCTGTTGTGGTCACCAAACAGAATTGCAAAAATGATTATTTTCAAACTGTTTTCCCGAACACCTCTACTGGTTAGATAAACAGATAGTCCCATCCCAAACTCATTAGTTAAACAGAGCAACTCAATTAAACAGAGCATTGTTTTGATAGCTCCACAAGAGCAAGTGTTTACACTTCCTGGGGAAACCAACAAGTGTCTTATAGTCTCTGTATATTCAGCTGGGATAGAAGAAAGTATTTTAACTTCAAAGAAAGTACTCGCATCACCAAAGTAGACCACAGAGAACCAAAGACAGAAATCTGCTTCCTGTTATATAACTGTTTGACCACTAGAGAGTGCTGTATGTACTTGAAAAATAACTCATTGTGTTTGGGACATTTCACCAAAAAAATAAAAATGGTCATTATTTACTCACCTTCATGATGTTCCAAACTCATGTGACTTTAATTCTCCTATGGAACACAAAAGGTGAAATGCAATAGTAATTTTTTTATTATGCAGTTAGTTCCCATGTGGACTGAGTATTTTATGAAAAAATTATGCAAAAGCACCATAAAACCATCATAAAAGTGGTCCATATGACTTTGTGTGTAAAAAAAAAAAAAAAGAACAAAAAACTGGCAAAGTCTGATTTATACGACAGTTTAATTAAATGGAAAAGAGCAAGCACAATATCTGTTCGTGGTTTACAAAAAAATACAAGAAAATGTGGTGTGATGGCACCCAAAAAAATGGCACTATTTCTTTGACACCAATTACAAAAACAATAGTCAAATGTAAATGTAACTTTGAGCTGGGATGTGCTTTGGGATTATGCAATAATGAAGAGCATAATCAACTAGACTCATGCCAGTTACCTTAAAGCTCCTTATCATTCCTTCACCACCCTTACCAGTTCAGTAGAGGTCATTAGCTACAGTATTCTGAACATATTACTATAAACACACTAGTAGCTGTTTCTGGTTTCATTGGAAATTTGAACCATGAAAATATGCATAAAGCAGCTAGAATTGTACTGTTGCTCTATGTGTGTTTTCAGGGCTGAGTGTGGACAGGCCATGTGCGCGGTCAGTGAAGGTGGACTGTCCATGCCCAATGGCACAGATGGCAGCACGGGGCAGTGTGGTGTGGGCACTGAGCGAGCAGAGGGGCGTGTTTTACAGAGAGGGTCTCAGCAGCTACTGTGCGGAGGGGGAACACTGGAAGTATGACACCGTCAGGTATGTTTGTCAGCGTGGTTTTCTGTTAGCAGATAGCAAATTCACTATAGTGAATAGATGAAGCACTGGTTTTCGACTTGTTTTACTTCAGCACCACCATTGCCAGATAATGCAATATCAAAGCTGTGTCCACCTTATTTCGCAACATAGAAGTAAGCTATTTTCTGTGTACGAGACTTTCAATTCATTAGCCGTAAATGACCAGAACAATAAAAAGTGCAGTAAAAGTAAAACTATTTGCGCGACAAGTGTTTGTTATGATTACGATAATAAAAGTAGATATTTAAAGTATTTAGGTAAAATATATGTATAGTTAGATTTCTTCTTTAAATAGTTTAGGAATATGAAAGTTTATATACGTTGCACAACATTTCGTTCCTTTATTGTCATTTTGCTGTATGTGTGGAGACATACAAAGTTTACTTGACTTATTTTTGTAGATCTGAAATAACTGGAAGTGGATGACACTGGAAGCCTTGGACATTCGAGTGACAAGTAGCCATACTCACTCTTACATTAAAAAATAAAGTGGACACCATACTGTAGCTATTGAATAAATAAACAAAAATGCCCTTAACATTGCAATACATTTTTTTATATTTCATAATTGAGTAGAAGTGTATTAATATTACTTCAAAAGATTTTTTTAAAACAACAGACTTTTTAAATGTATATTTGACACATTTAATTGGGTATATTTCCTTTAACCTCGCATAGTTTTGTTGTTCATGGTTTTTGAAGAGGATGTGCTAAAACATTCTTCAGTTAAACAAAGACAAAACCGAAGTCATTGCATTTAGAAACAAAAATTAAATTCTCGAATGCATACCTTGACTCTAGGGATTAAAAAACAAAAAAATCAAGTGAGGGATCTTGGTGTGGTTTTGGAGTCCGACCTTAGTTTCAGTAGTCATGTCAAAGCAATAACTAAATCAGCATTCTATCATCTCAAAAATATAGCGAGAATTAGATGGTTTGTTTTCCCGCAAGTTTGGTACCACTGTCATAAAACACTGCAAGCAAGATTTGACCTTATCCTTTTTTTCTTTTTTTTTTGCTGTAGAAATAAATGTAAACATTGAGATATTGTATATGCATGTCCATAGTGAGAGCCAAGGTCTGGAACCCATCTGTATTGCTCTGGGTGAGAATAACACAGTCTGGGCATTGGACACCAGTGGCAGCTTATGGTTCAGAACGGGGGTCACGGCTAAAAAACCCCAGGGTGAAGATGACCACTGGTGGCAGGTACATATGTGTAACATGCACATCCACATGCACAATAAATCCTCTTCTAGAGCTGGTCGGATTTTCTGACTGCATGTGTGTTTTTTAACAATGCGATGAATCTCACATTCTGTGTAAAAAGGCGAATTATTCCAAAAGGTTCAATTTATTTAAACATTTTTAAGCCTGAAGGTGTTGCTTCCTGCAAGAAATGTTTCAAATTGATCAAAATAATGCCTTAAACAAATGTGATTTTTACAAACTCTACAAATGTGATTTTTTTTCTCATCATCTTTTCATTTAGGTGAGCATCACAGATTATGTGGTGTTTGATCAGGGCAGTCTTTTACAGACTTTGATCCAGGCCACACAGACTGTCGCCACAGCCACTAGAGCTCCGGTAGAGCGGGTGGCCGAATGTCTGCGTGTGGCCTTCCTGTCCCAGCACTCCCAGTGCCAGCCTAGCCTCATCAGTGTCAGCACCAGTGGCGTCTGGATTGCTTCTGGGCGCAACGACTTCCACGTTGCCAAGGGCAGCCTCATCGGTATGATGCAATGAGTTTGGTCTTAAAAGTTAAATATACTGTCCTGTTGACTGAGGACCTTTTGATTGGTTCTTGTTTGAAAATGTCATTTTATGGTGATATTCATCTTAATGCAGGGACATTTTGGAAGGGTATTGTACCCAGAGGAACAGCCTCTGCCACGAAATGGGTCTTTGTGTTCTCCTCTGCTGTTCCAGCCAAAGAGGGTATGTAGAAATCATGTCTTCTTCATATTCACACCCCATCTGTTGTCTTGCAGGAAGCAATGTAATATTATTGTACTTTGGCTGCACAATTAAAATCTGTATATTCAAGCATGTTTGTTAACCTCACTGGTGTCTCCACAGGGAGTTTCCTGTGGTTAGGTCAGAGCAGGAAAGACCTGTTCTGTATCTGGAACCAAGACCTCCAGATGCGGCCCTTTACCATACAGTTCCCCCCAGACATAGAGATGGTGCAGCTCTCTGCCTGTCGTGACGCTCTTTGGGGTTTAGATCACTACGGTCGTGTCCACATCCGCACTTTATCAGCCAGTTGCTCTACAGGAATTGACTGGACATTATTGGACCTCAGCCAGCTTGGTGAGAGAATTTTCTTTCCATAGACAAGAGTTTTATCAGTGGATCACATGCCAGATACAATATACATTTAAACTAAATTTAAACTCTTCTAATGTGAGAGCACCAAGTCTAAAGAAGCTGCATGAAGAAAAAATACTATATTTGTATATTTATAGATAAAATATTATATTCATGAAGATATATATATATATATGAAGACCCAACAGCCACTTCAGTCAAAAATGAGATAGTAATATTGAGTGAATGCTCTCTGCACATAGTATACGTTCATCAAATACTTTCACTTAGAACTCACTAAATCCCAGTCTCAGCCCATTCAGAAATGCCGGTACTTTGGTAGAAACCTATACATAGGAGCCTGATATTTTTTTTAGATTAAACAAAAACTTTAAACGGACTTAGAGGCTTTTGCATCTGAAGTTACATCTGAAGTCTTCATATTAGGGGTGGGCGATATGGCAAAAATATCATATCACGATTTTTTTCAGGAAAATCACGATTTTATCACGATTCTTTTTCATGTTGGTTTTACTATTTTGCAAGTGACTGAGCATTACAGCCAAAGTAATGTCCCTATTTAAAAAAAGCCTTATAAGTAACAAAAGAAAAAAGAATGGCAGACATTTAGGCCAAAGTGGTGAAGATAAAAATCTTTATCATTATTTTCTTTGTTATTAAGAATTAGGAACAAAGATACACATTAAGCATACACAACTCAATATACAAATGAAATAAACAGTGCTTTATTTTTTCAGCTACAGTAGGGGTATTTAACAGTAGCATTGAAGAAAGTAATTAGGCTAAATGAACAAATACGAAAATAAAACACGACATAGACTTCACTGTATAAATTATACATTGATTATTATTAAAGCTACTACTAAAGTTCTCAGTCAAGAGCAATGAGTGATTTCCTATTTGTGTTTTGTTGTTTTATTAACATTAAAGGGACTCTCTCAAGTTGTTTTAAACCCGAATAAGTTTCTTTCTTCTGTTGAAAATAAAAGTTATTTGGAAGAATGTGGCAAACCAAACAGTTGCTGTACTCCAGTGACTTCCATAGTATATGTTTTCCTACTATGGAAGTCAATGGGGACCAGCAACTGTTTGGTTAGCCACATTCTTCCAAATAACTTTTATTTTCAACAGAAGAAAGAAATTAATACAGGTTTGGAACAACATTAGAGTGAGTAAATAATGACAGAATTTTTATTTTTGGGTGAACTATCTCTTTAAGTACAAGAGGCAGCTTGTTTACTAACTGGCTACTGCTGCTCGCGACGCGTCTCGCATTTGACAAGCAGATTTTCTCTCTTTTTTTTCTGTTTGCTTTCACTTTAGACATAACCAACTTTGTTTATGTAAACCTTGTGTGTATTTGACAATATTAGCGCAATAAGACTCGAAAGATAACTTATAACGTAGTCCAGTAAACAGACGCTGTTAGACAGGCTTTTAGTGCCCGTGTGCTTCGGGTGTATGCGCTCAGAAAGCACACGTCAGAACAGCGCGTGAATTACATGTTTAACCAGCAAGGCTTTAAAGCACATGCAAACAATGAACTTCTGTGAACTGCAGTGTCCCGTTCCTCTGCGTTAACATTTGTTGTATGTTGAGACGGAGCTCGGCGCCAGAACTGCAACTGATAAAATGCACGATACTACGATATTTCTTCAAAAGCAGATCATCGAGACATTTTAATCGTCCACGATCAAAAACCATGATATCGCACACCCCTACTTCATATATATATATATATATATATACAGTATATACACTCACCTAAAGGATTATTAGGAACACCTGTTCAATTTCTCATTAATGCAATTATCTAATCAACCAATCACATGGCAGTTGCTTCAATGCATTTTGGGGTGTGGTCCTGGTCAAGACAATCTCCTGAACTCCAAACTGAATGTCAGAATGGGAAAGAAAGGTGATTTAAGCAATTCTGAGCGTGGCATGCATGGTTGTGGGTGCCAGACGAGCGGGTCTGAGTATTTCACAATCTGCTCAGTTACTGTGATTTTCACGCACAACCATTTCTAGGGTTTACAAAGAATGGTGTGAAAAGGGAAAAACATCCAGTATGCGGCACTCCTGTGGGCGAAAATGCCTTGTTGATGCTAGAGGTCAGAGGAGAATGGGCCGACTGATTCAAGCTGATAGAAGAGCAACTTTGACTGAAATAACCACTCGTTACAACCAAGGTATGCAGCAAAGCATTTGTGAAGCCACAACACGCACAACCTTGAGGCGGATGGGCTACAACAGCAGAAGACCCCACCGGGTACCACTCATCTCCACTACAAATAGGAAAAAGAGGCTACAATTTGCAAGGGCTCACCAAAATTGGACCGTTGAAGACTGGAAAAATGTTGCCTGGTCTGATGAGTCTCGATTTCTGTTGAGTCATTCAGATGGTAGAGTCAGAATTTGGCATAAACAGAATGAGAACATGGATCCATCATGCCTTGTTACCACTGTGCAGGCTGGTGGTGGTGGTGTAATGGTGTGGGGGATGTTTTCTTGGCACACTTTAGGCCCCTTGGTCCCAATTGGGCATCGTTTAAATGTCACGGCCTACCTGAGCATTGTTTCTGACCATGTCCATCCCTTTATGGCCACCATGTACCCATCCTCTGATGGCTACTTCCAGCAGGATAATGCACCATGTCACAAAGCTCGAATCATTTCAAATTGGTTTCTTGAACATGACAATGAGTTCACTGTACTAAAATGGCCCCCACAGTCACCAGATCTCAACCCAATAGAGCATCTTTGGGATGTGGTGGAACGGGAGCTTTGTGCCCTGGATGTGTATCCCACAAATCTCCATCAACTGCAAGATGCTATCCTATCAATATGGGCCAACATTTCTAAAGAATGCTTTCAGCACCTTGTTGAATCAATGCCACGTAGAATTAAGGCAGTTCTGAAGGCGAAAGGGGGTCAAACACAGTATTAGTATGGTGTTCCTAATAATCCTTTAGGTGAGTGTATATATATATATATATATATATATATATAAGAGTCATGTGAAAAAGAAAGGACACCCTATTGAATTCAATGGTTTTATGTATCAGGACATAATAAAAAGAATGGTCTTAAAATTAGGTAAATACAACCTCAGATGAACAACAACACGTGGCATATTACATTGTGTCATTATTTATTTAACAAAAGCTAGGCCTAAATGGAGAAGCCATGGGTGAAAAACGAAGTACACCAGTACTGCTACCTGAGGAATTAAGAGTGTAAGTAGCAGTCAGGCACTGCTATTCAAATGTCCTTGATTAACTGATCATCAGTAAGTGTAATCATCTCTATAAAAGCAGAAGATTTGTCAGTTTGCTGGTCTGGAGCATTCAGGTGTGTGTTAAAACAATGCCAAGGAGGAAAGACATCAGCAATGATCTTAGAGCAATTGTTGCTGCCCATCAATCTGGCAAGGGTTATACGGCTATTTCCAAACAATCTGAAGTCCATTATTCTACTGTGAGGAATATTATTCACAAGTGGAAAACATTCAAGACAGCTGCCAGTGGACGTCCCAGTGGAGTGGACATCCCAGCAAATTCACCCCAAGGTCAGACCAAGCAATGCTCAGAGAAATCGCAAAACACCCAAAAATTACACCTGGGACTCTACAGGCCTCAGTTAACATGTTAAATGTTAAAGTTCATGGCAGTACAATTAGAAAAAGACGGGACAAGTATGGTATTTTTGGAAGGGTTGCCAGGAGAAATCTTCCTCTCTAAAAAGAACATGGCAGCACGCCTTAGGTTTTCAAAGTTGCATCTGAACAAACCTCAAGACTTCTGGAACAATGTGCTTTGGACAGACAAGACCAAAGTGGAGATGTTTGGCCATAACGCACAGCGCCAAGTTAGGCAAAAACTAAACACAGCATATCAGAGCAAACACCTCATACCAACTGTCCATCACTCTGATGGAGGGGTGATGATTTGGGCTTGTTTTGCAGCCACAGGACCTGGGCACCTTGCAGTCTTTGAGTCAACCATGAACTCTGTATACCCAAGGATTCTAGAGTCAAATATGAGGCCATCTGTCCGACAGCTAAAGCTTGGCCAAAATTGGGTCATGCAACAGGACAATGATCCCAAGCACACCAGCAAATCTATAACAGAATGGCTGAAAAAGACAAGAATCAAGGTATTGCACTGGCCCAGTCAAAGTCCAGACCTCAACCTGACTGAAATGCTGTGGTGGGTCTTTAAGAGAGCTGTGCCTAAACAAATGCCCACAAACCTCAATGAACTGAAGCAACGTTGTAAAGAAGAGCAGGCTAAAATTCCTCCAGAACAATGTGAGAGGCTGATAAAGTCATACAGAAAATGATTCCTTTAACTTATTGCTGCTAAAAGCTCTTCAAGCAATTGAATCATAGAGTGTACTTAGTTTGTCACCCATGGCTTTTCCATTTTGCTTTATTTTTGTTAAGTAAATAAACGGTGGAATGTGACATTTGTTGTTGCTCATCTGCACATTACCTCATTACCTAATTTTAAAACCTGCTAATGACCAGATGAGTTTTATGTTCTGATAAACCATACAATTCTAAAGGGTGTCCTTTCGTTTTCACATGGCTGTATATATATATATTATGCAAGCAGACACTTATGGGAGTACTACATTTTTGTTACGGTGTGCCTTTAGCCCCGTTGTACCCTACGTATATCAGATTCACTATTTTTTGTTTTGTAACTTATTTTACCAACAACTAAACAGAATGCTCTTTGTACATTAGGACAAACACCACAGTGTTTTTCGCTGCTTGTTTGTATTCATTAACGTATGCATTAGATAGCACTTATTAGTATCCCTATGATGACGTGTTTGACACATGATTTAGATAATTTGCTCAAATGTTGCTGCTCAGGGCCTCAAGTGGTCAGGTGTGACAGAATGACGCATGTTGGGCATACCTTGCTAAGGACCCTCTTCTCCTAGTTCAGATTACCATGTCTGGTCTGCTGCTGACATACTTCTGTCAAATTCACAAATAACCTGTCCACTTCCACTTCTACTGAAGCTATACTCCTTCTAAACACACTTAGCTTTCACTTTCACATCTTAATTTCCATTTCTTGGAATCGAAGAGCCTCTAGCCTAGCAGGTTGAATAGCAAGCCATGGTTTTGTGTATCCAAACGGCCTGTTGCTAAGGGTGATGTTTATATTTTTAATTCAAGCAGGTGGTTCTTGCATAACACGTTTTGTAATAAAGCTTGTAAGTTAACTGTCAAAGGTCATGAGAGGAACAGATCAACCCTTTAGTATTGAATATTGTAGTGATTAGGCTTTAGGAATGCATTAAGCACACATTTTAATCAGTGAATTTGGTAACAAGACACAAGTTCACAATGTCAGACTCTCCCAAATGCAATCAATGCAGCATTTCACTGTGAAATGACAATGCAGGCTGCAGTCTAATCTGATTACATCAGACATATTTTAATTACACTGCTTGCACTTCAGTGCAATCAGTGTAAGCCATGTGTTTGAGCACAAGTGTGTGTGTGTGTGTGTGTGTGTTTGCTATGACAGGATAGAGACACAAATAGGCAGAGCCATGTGATGGAGCAGCTGTAGCCCTGTCCGTCTCGGATTGTTTGCGTCAGGGCAGCATTGCATTGGCAATGTGAAAGATGAGTCTAGGGCTAGTCCTGGATGCACAAGCATTTTTAGATCGGGTACAGACTGGGCACATGATGTTTTCAGTTCTTTTAGACTCTGGCTTATGCACTGAGACTCAATGAAAGTTATTAGAGTTCAGCTGGTTTAATAAATTGTTTTGTTAGATGAAAAACTGGCTCTTTAAATTCTAGGTTAGTCTCATGAACTTTGTCCTGTGGTATTTGTTCTCAATGAGTCGTTTCGTTTTCTGGAAAACACTTAAAATGCTACAGCATGGTTTTGAAAAAAGGCCATCCTGTGAACTGAAGCGTCAGCTTTATCTGGTTCTGTTGGTAATGAATCAGCACAGTGTGCAAAGAGCTTTTGCGGCCAAAGGCCACAGGTGTGACGACATGTAAGCAATCTATTGTTTTCATTCATTGTGCTCATCAGGCACCCATAATCCTTTTTTTTTTATTTTTTTTATTTTTTTATAGATTTTGATCTAGATAGGTGTGTTTCATACTATACCAGTGAAAGAATGTGAAACACCACATCAATAGGAGATAAAGTATATCTCAAGTTTTTTGTTTTTCAGTTTTGCATTTGGATGACGGTTATACTTAAACAGCTACAAATAAAAAGGTACTCATCTAATTTTATATATAACAAAATTAGCAAAACATTTTTTAGTTGTGACTTTTTCAGAAAGTGTAATACATTTATCTTAATTTTGAAAAGTACTATATATATATATATTGTACACTACGGTTTAAAAGTTTGGGGTTGGTAAGATTTTTTTATGTTTTTGAAGAAGTCTCTTATGCTCAAGGCTGCATTTATTTAATAAAAAAAACCTGTAATACTTTGAAATATTATTACAATTTAAAATAACTGTTTTCTATTTTAATATATTATAAAATGTAATTTATTCCTGTGGTTGCATTTTTTTCAGCATCATTGCTCCAGTCTTCAGTCACATGATCCTTCAGAAATCATTCTAATATGCTGATTTGGATATTTAAATAATGTTGAAAACATTTGTGCTGTTTAATATTTTTGTGGAAACCAGGATAGTTTTTCTTTTCCTTTTCAGAACAGCATTTATTTGAAATGGATTTCTTTTGTAACATTATAAAGGTTTTTACTATCACTTTTGATCAATATAATGCGTCCTCCTTGCTGAAAAAAAGTACTATTATTTTTTTAACAATAATGTAAATTTTACATTTATATAGTGCATTTTGATCATTTATATTATCCCGTAGATATGTAATTACACAGTGAAATGAATACTGTCATGGAAAGTGTGATGGATGATATTATGAGCTGTGAAAGAATGTGTGCCAGTGTATCACATATTATGTTAAGATTTGCTATCAAAGTCCTCAACACAAAGCCCTCATTACGTAACATGATGTGTAAATGTCATGTCAAGGTTTCCCTATCATATCATAGTGTAGACAAGACCTCTGTACAGTTTTAGATGAATGTAGGCTGCTCTCTTAAGGACGTAGTTTTAGTATGGAAAATTGGGCCTGGATGTCCTTGACATATACATTTGTGAAATGGTGCTAGATGTGATGTATGGTTTAGAGCTTAACTCAGGCACACTGCACAATGTCACAGTCCATTTTGTCAGTCGCCCTCAGATGGATTGTGATGGCTAAATGTTTCCAGTACAGTCAGGTGCTTGATGAATTTCAACACGTTTCAACTTTTATTAAAAAATCTTGTTATAATTGACCATACTTTAGGTTAGGGGCTTTTGCGTGTAACTCATCCTATGTTGTTTGTGCTACAGACATGAATGATCAATCATATGTTTTTTTTGTCAAGTCATACAGGTTTTGGATGTTGGAAAAGTCCCATAGTTTATTGAGTTATTAATGCTCTCATGTGCCAATCCTATTTCACTGGAATATCGTGTTGACATGTAACATCTCACTTTTACTTTCTCTGTTGCTCCCTCACAGGGAACGTGAGGTTTCTCAGTTTGTCTTGTGGCAGTCAGAATGTTTGGGCGTGTGATGCTAATGGAATGGTGTATTTTCGGGTTGGAACTCAACCTTTGAACCCCAGCATGATGCTCCCTGCCTGGATCTGCATTGAACCACCTGAACAGGTAAACAAGCATTTGACATGACTATTGGCTGCAAAATCCCCACTGTAAAGTAGACTTTAGCATCCATGAGCTTGCATCCATATTAAATGGTATATTACTTAAATACACTACAGTTTGAGGTCAGTTTTTTAAAATAAATTAATAATTCTATTCAGCAAAGATGCAATTATTTCATCAAAAGTGACAGTAAATCTTTATAGTGTTAAAAAAAAATTCCATTTTGAATAATTGCTGTTCTTTTGAACTTTCTATATTCATCAAAGATTCCTTAAAGAAATTGGTTTTCACAAAAATACTAAGCAGCACAACTCATGTGACACTGAAGACTGGAGCAATGGCTGCAGTCAATAATATTTCAAATCAATAATATTTTACAATATTACAGTTTTTAATGTATTTTTGATCAAATAAAGGCAGCCTAGGTGAGCATAAGAGACTTCTTTCAAAAACATTAAAACATCTTACCGACTCCAAACTTTTGTTAGTGACTAGTATCATAATAAATGTGTAATTAGTCAAGTTTGAAAAACTTAAAAAGCACTCAAACTCAGAAAAAGTTTGCTTACAACTGACCAGTCGAATACTGGTTCCATACTAAATTTATTGTTTACAGTAATATATATTGTTTTATTTTTATGAACAGTTCCTACCATGACCTTTAAGGGATTATCTAGCCCTTGGAATACACTGTCATTATTTCACCAGCCTTATGCAGTCTTTTATTCTCATGTTCTCTTTGAGCAGCCTGCTGGGCTTCATCTGGTGAAGATTCAGACTAACTCTAATGACCGAATGCTGTGGGCACTGGACAACAGAGGCAATGTGCACGTGCGCACCGGCATCACTGAGGAGATGCCTGTTGGGACTGCATGGGAGCATATTCCTGGTATACCTTCATTACATAATCTCATTCACTGTTTTTATTATTCTTGTATTGAAACTGTCAGCCTGATTCAGAGTTCAACTCGCTTTCATATGTGTTTAATTAGAGCAGGAACTTGTTTGACTGGTCATTGGTTCAAGTTTGTTTTTTCCTCATTTTAGGACTTCAGGCAAGTCAACTGGTTGTAAGCATGAGGACCGCTTGGGTTCGTCTTTATAACGGTGAAGTGGCTCGTCGATATGGCATTACAGAGAAGAACCCTGCTGGAGACTACTGGAAGAAGATCCCAGGACTAGTCAGCTGGCTCGCAGGTTGGTGTTCATAATTGGTTAATGATAAAATGAGCATCTGCACACGTAAATGATCAAAACTTACCAAGCAGTGGTTTTGCAGTGACCCCGATGGATGAACTGTGGGCTGTCGCTCCTAATGGTGCTCTCAACCAGCGCCTTACCAAGAATCTGCTAAACAATAGAAGCAAAAACCATGGCAACACAGGTTCTCTGAGTGGAGAGGAGCTGGAGGAAGAGTGGGAGGTGATTTAGATGCCGCAAATTGTGTCAAATCATCCCAGAATCACTGTTCTGTGAAATTTCTTTATAGGCACTTTACTCATTTCTTTCCTAAAGGAGTAGTTCACCTGAAAAAAATGAAAAGTCTGTCATCATTTACTTATCCTCATGTCGATCAAATCCTTATGAGTATATTACGCTGTTGAAACATACCTGAGGGAATACCTTGTGCACCTTGTGACCTGAAAATGTTTACCCATATTGTTTTATTCAGCATATTATTTATTAAGTTTTGATATCCACATGCACAGTTAGAGCAGATATTTTGTTACTTGCATTGATTGAAGAATGAGGCTTCGTTATACAATTCAAAAGTTTGGGGTCAGTTGTATATTTTTTTTTTTTTTAAGAAATTAATACTTTTATTCAGGAAGGATGCATGTAATTGATCACAATTTATAGTAAAGACATTTTCTATTTCAAATAATCTGACCTTTCTATTCATAACGGAATCTTGAAACAAAATTAATCACTATTCCCACAAACAGATTGAGCAGCACAACTGTTTTCAACATTGATAATCACCAAATCAGCATATTAGAATGATTTCTGAAGGATCGTGTGACACTGAAGACTGGAGTAATGATGCTGAAAATTCAAATAAAGTTATTTTAAATTGTAATATTTCACAAAATTAGTTTTTACTGTATTTTGATCAAATAAATGCAGCCTTGGTGAGCGTAAGAGACTCCTTTCAAAAACAGTTACAAAAATCTTACCGACCCCAAACTTTTGAATGGTAGTGTATCCTAATGCACTTTGCTCACTAGATAGGGAAATATTTAATGTGAATCGGTTTATACTGTAGCTGTAGTCTACTGCTTTAGAAGTATAGATTATGTAAATATCTCTTATTTTGACCAAACTCATTTCATTAAACACATAATTATAGGTACAGGAAATATACATCACAATATTATCTTAGATTAACAAACAAGAGGGCATTTGGGGGGGGGGGGGGGGGGGACTAGGTTTACGTCAGCTTTAGTTGAGGAAGTTAAGGGATTCAGCTTTATCTGTAAATACACTTGTACCTTGTTAAATACTTGACAGGAGTAAAATCATGGTAGCATTTGACAAATATCTGTGAGACATGAGTCGTATAGAGAGCATGGTCTCTGACTTGCCTCTGCCTACACTGTAGTGATGTGTTGCAGTTTAATGTGAGGTATTTTAAAAGGACAGTTTGACTTTAAACTCTTAAAACAGAAAAACAATTTGAACTTACTACTTGGTTGATAGAATCTATCATAGTCTGTTATGAAAAAACTGTATTTTAATGCTAGATAAGCATTCCTCATATACGTCCATATAAAGAACGCATCTTGATGAGTATTCTATCATAGGTAACTAAATATTAATTCAGTGCTAGATCTGATGTTTCATTTCCTCTCCTCTTTCTTTATTGTCTGACTGTGAAGTCTTTCTTTTTGAGATTTTGACACCTCAGTAATGCATCATATGCAAATAGATTTAAATGACCATGTAAGCATTGCTGCAAGTTGTGTTTGCTCTGTACGTTACATTTGCTAAATGTGAACTCGCATATTAAACTATGACTTAAATTCTTCGGTCTTTGCTCCATGCTTAGTCATGACAAACTTCCAAATAAAATGTTTACAATAAGTTTCTCAGCATGTTGTGGTTATATTACAGATGATATACACTAACAAATGTTTGGATGCACTTGAATTTACACTATAATCGATCAAAATTTCTTCCTTTTTTAATTAATTGATCAAAAATGACAGTTAAAGACATGTATAATGTCACAAAAGATTCCGAATAAATGCTGTTCTTTTGAGCTTTCTATTCGAAGAATCCTGAAAGAATTGTTTTTTACAAAAATATTAAGCATTACCACTGTTTTCAACATTGATAATAAGAAATCAGCATATTCGAATAATTTCTGAAGGATCATGTGACTGAAGACGAGTAATTGCTGCTGAAAATTCAGCTTAGCCATCAGAAAGAAAACGGTTGTTTTAAAATGTAATAGTATATTAAACTTAGTTTAGATGCTTGAAATCACAGGCACATTTAAACTGTGCATAAAGTATTAATTTACACTTTGCACTTTTTTTCCCCCAGAGTGGATGAGTTGAACCAAATAGTAAAAAAAAAAAAAAAACCAACAAGTTTCCAGCATACATGGGAACACCTTTCTATTTAAAAAGTATCCGTGGATGCACCACATGAAGTTGGTTGAGAGAATGTCTCATGCAAACGGAGCTTTGAAGAAACTCAAATATGTTTTGGTTTGTTTGTTAGTGCTTAATAATTCTATTATCCTAAATCAAGGAAATTGTAATAAAGATAAGTAATTGTGTCCAAAACTTTCACTGTTTGTTTGAGTCAGAGATGAGATGTCTATTTTTTCATTCATAAGACCGAGAATGTATCTTGAATGAACTGAATATTAAACATGAAGCTCCAAGACAACAAATGCAAAAAAATATATATTTAATAATTGTACAGTTTCTTTCATAATGCTGCTACTCTAATGTGCAACACCTAGCTATTCACATATTTACAGAGCTTGTCACATACACTCAAACCTGAATATTTGAAGAAACAATAGAGTCAAGCAATGTGCTTTATTACATTAAACTTGATCCAGTCTGAAGTCCAGGGGTTTCAAAAAGTCCGGCAGTGAGTCCAGCTGTTCCTTGGGAATGGACTGGCTGAGCTTCTGCATGGCCTGAACGAACAGTGAAGGAGGTGATGATTCTGAGAGCAACTGGAAGGCCTGCTCTCCTATAAGACCCCTCCACACATCGGCATTGTCCTGCAACTGTCTCTTCATCTGGAAGCGAAATGTGGGCATGAATAAAATGAGGTAGCCGAGGCAGACGCGCTTCGTCCGCATTTCAAAGTCACTCTGGCAAATCTGTCCGAGTAAACAGTCCAGGGGGGTGTTCCCTGTCAGGTCCTTTGCGTAAGGACAGGCCCCGTGACCCAGCAACAGAATCAAGCACTCGGGACGCACCAGATCACACGCGAGATGCAGCGCGGTCTTGCTGCCGTCCGTGTGGACGCATCCGTGACGGTTCAGGTAGCTCCGTCTCTCGCAGTCTGTGAAGTCTTTAATGGTGTCCATAATCATTTTCAGGATGTTGATGCGGTTGTAGCGGACGGCTATGGCCAGGTGCGGTGTGGTGGATGCCTGGCAGCAGCAGAAACTTCTGCTGGGCATCTCCAGCGCGCGGGCGGAGAACCTGTTGAGTAAATAGCGCGCGTACTGCTGGTGATCATGGACCAGCGCGTACAGAAACGCCTCCGACGGGGAGAACGCGCACGCCTGTCCGTCCTCTTCCCAATGAAATACCTCCATTGTCCGCATGTCCTCCAGGACCCACACCGGCAACAGGTCCCGTACAGCCTGATAAAATGCAAATGAGGTTTTTTGGCATTGTTTCGGGGATTTATAATCCGCGCGACTCTCGTACATCCCCAGATCCAAAGGCATTGTGAGTTCCGCCGTTATATTAAACGTTTTAGGGGGGCTATTTGGATTTCTCGTGGTGTTCAATGCAGCCACAGCTGATACTGAAACATCTGTCAGGATATAGATGTAACCCAGGAGACCAGGCGGAATAATAAACAATAAGGCGGTAATCTCGTACGATAGAGTCTAAAACCGTCCACCCGCCTTCAAACCCCTCTACAAACTCAGCCGAGAGTTTATATACTGTATGCTGGGCACTGGGACAGCCCGTGTTGGTTTGCGCATATCGCTGCGCTCTTTACCATTGGATGCTGGCGTACGTCACGAGGGTACAAAGTGCCTCCAACTTTTCCTTATTAGTATAGAACGCATCAACGCATGTGTGCGTATGTTTGGGCGATATCGAGTGACCCCCGCGCATTCAGTACATTCAGCACGACTCTTGTTACATAATATCCCACAGGACGAGCCATGCGCTCTTTCACGGGGTGATCTCTACCCGATCTGTTTACCATACCAGTCTGAAAAAAAAGTTTAGCCTGTTATTATGGTGGTAAACGATTAAGTGTTGTTGCTTTCCTCGGGGTCATATTAATGATAGCCTACATGCTAATTTTTTTAGTTTTTTTCTTTTGGAAGAAGTCAAGGGCAAAAGTAGCCTATGTCAAAGTCAAAATTAATAAAACTGGGCGATAACAATTTAGAACTCCAGACGCGATGGGAATGTCTGGAACAACAATAGAGACTTGTCAAACAAGTGTGACTGAGATGTGTGTTGAGGAGCATGTGCGCCATCTAGCGGATATGTGTTATGATTGCTTTTTTTGTTTGTTTCTTCAGAAAAGAAATTGGATACGTTTATCACTAAATCATTTTTCATTACTTATATTAGACCTTCTCTACTCTTTGGTTATTTTAATTATTATTAGTAGTAGTATCCGTTTAAAAACTTTTCATTTATGGACACAAAAATGATCTCTTGTAAAATAATATAAATTTAACTGTAATTATATGATCAGGGTATATCAATACATAATCAGATTATGCAGGTCTGGATTTATGCATAGGTTTTATGCATTTTATGCATTCTCATGTATGCTCGTATTGCACATCCAGGGGGGACATAATTTCAATGAGGAGAATATATATTTATAATTTCACTCTTGTAAAATACTGTAAGACAATCACTCTAAATTAATAAAATGTTAAATATTGGGTAGAAACGTATCTCCATATTTTGTCATTTTTTCATAAATCATTACTATAGACCTTATTCAGAGCATCACCATGACAGGTATGAAAGCGAGGAGGGATAGACCATGTTTCAAATGGTATCCGCTGTAAAAAGCTATAAGCTCCTATCACTTAGCCTATAATTTTCCACAGCTCATGTTGTCTGTAGTTTTTTGTCTACTGAAATTCCTTGGAAAGATATTTTGCAGTGTTTCATCAGCAGAACAATCCAAAAACACATTAAATAGTAGTTAAATATAAGTAAGACGAAGGTGTTGTGTTGTAGGAGGTTTAGTTCATCACTATCTGAACCACTTAAGCTGAGATCTTCACATATTTGGGCACTGAGATTGATTGGCATCTATCCTTTTCTCAACATGTGAATATCGTCTATAATAAATCTCAACAGCGCTTATTTCTCTTGAGAAGGTTGAAGAGTTTTAATGTTAGACAAAATATCATGATAACAGTGTATCACACTCTTGTTGAATCAGTATTGACCTTCAATATTGCATCCTGGTTTCATTTTGTTTCTGCTAAAAATAAGAAAAAATTATCCAGAGTAATCAAACAGGCATCTAAAATTATTGGGGCCCCGCAGATTCAACTAGTAGACCTCTATAATTGTGCAGTAAAGAGGAAAGCAGACACCATTGTTACTGACCCCTCTCATCCTCTTTGCAGCTCGTTTCAGGTACTGTCATCAGGTTGCCGCTTTAGAGCTCCTTTGGCCAAAAAGAAAGCGTACAGGAACTCTTTTATTCCTACTGCTATTTCTATTTTAAATAAGACTAAAAAGTGTCATTAGTATATTGGGCTTGAGCCTTTATTGTTTTACATAGTGTAAGGCAGGCCTACTTTTTTCCTTGTAACAATTTTAATTTGTGATGTGTGTGTGATTGTATTGTGTATATGTGAGCCTTTTTAACCAAAGACAAATTTCTATCACTGGTTGATAATAAAGTTTTTTGAATTTTGAATTTTGAGTACAAACACTGAAGCCTACCCCTCACAGCCTTGCTTTCATTCCTGTTAAAAATCAAAGATGGTGCTGCCGTGAATAAGGTCTATTGGTCCCCTTCTACCTCTGTGTGGGTTTTGCAAATATTTAACCAATGAAACGTATTAAAAAGATCTTGTAGCTGAACCTCGTATTTCCATTGGAACTTCAAACTGTTGGTCAAACCTCATAACTCCACCCTGCCTTGCTCTATCATGAATGAAGTGCAGCATGAATTTGGACCATCTCTGCTTGTTTGCAATGCAAGGCAAGGGCAAATAAAGAACTGTTTCTTTGAATAAGTACATTGTTTTCTTTACTCAAAACACACTATATACAGTATTATGTATTTGAGGAGAATTTGTCTTAGTCTAGCATTTTTCCTTGAGTCATAGACAATAGGCTACTGTCTTAAAGGGGCACTTGGCAACTCTAGTCATTTCTTCGCTGATTTTCACTTTTGTTGTCGCATGTTTTCTCATCGAGCTCCCCCTACAGCTGTGCGGTGTATATTTTCACAACACTGTCATAAAAAAACTCACTTGCGGCACCTTCCTCCCGCTTTCTACCGCTGCTCATGTGCATTTGTTATTATCGGAGCCGGCCAACTTTATCATGTGGAGCTATGTCTACCGAGTGGGTAATACATCATACACAGTATCATAGAATTATGTCAAATTGCCATAAAGCAGTTCGTGTTTCTCGCTCGTTCTCGCTTCTCACGAGACTTCTATTTCCAACTTACCGGGACGTTAGTCCCCATGTTGCAAGGTTGGTTTTCCACCTGGGGACGCTGGGGGGAGCGGGGAAAGTCACCATTCTCTCCAGAACAGGTTATTGAACCATTCAAATGATTTCTAAACGGTTTTATTAAGTTGAAATAGTTGCCAAGTGCCCCTTTAAAGGTGCAGTAAGCGATTTGTGATGAAGCACTGTGGAAAGTGGATAGGACTGAGCAACACAGCACACTTGTAGACAATCAGCAGTAGGCCTACTCATTAGGGAGGAGGTGCCTGTGTTGCATAGTGTGTTCCTGAATTTGGGGCCGGAGCTAAAGGTAGGGATGCAATCCTTTTGGGTAGGAGCATGTTTGTTTTGGGGATTCCAAATATCAACAGTGTTTCTCAGAAATCACTTACTGCCCCTTTAAATAGCCTGTGCAAAGCTCTTCATCTTTTATAACATGAGATTTTGTCCACATGATAGAAAAAAATGAGTGCCCACATACAATAATCTTTATAACCTGTTAGTTAATAAAAACATAATGAGATTACTGCCTCATGATGCGGCCGTGATGGACAAAACACGTAGGTCCGAAAAACCTTGTAACTCTAGCCTGGGAAAACCCAGACAATTTCCGGCAAATTTAGATTTGCTCTGAAAGTTAGTCTGGCAAAGAGCTCATTCAAGCTCATTTCCAATCCGCCGAAATCGAGGCACCAATCAGAAACGTTGGGGCGGGCTTTACACGATGACGACAGCGCTGGGATTTTGAAGCAGATTTTGTAGCCTACATTACAACGATGGATTCCGCCGTCGAACATCACTCGTTCGAATCAGCTATCGTCTGTTTTAAGCGATTTGAACGTTTCCGTTTTGTTAAAAACCGAGCAAAGAACAACACTCGGAGATGTTTCTGCCGCTCTGCATACGTCATCTCCTTCATCGCTCTGATTGGTTTTAGGTCTATCCGCGACGTCCGTTGGTGACGCCCCTCTGGAAATGATTTGTCTATGACGCTTTGCCAGACCATAACTCAGTTACAACTGAGAATGGTCTGGTTTTAACCAGGCTATTGTAACTCCGTTTGAGCTTGATTTTTGTAGAATGTTAAATATATAACGTCACATACACGTGTCTGACCACATATAAAGCCACGACATCAACTTTGATAGCACAATATTTATTTAAAAAATATCCATTTCCTGAAAAGTTGCGGTTTTGGACATATGAGGTTTCCACCTTTTGCCTATGTCACAATATGAGGTAAATCCGATTCTGAGATTATGAGAAATTATCAGATCGTATTCAGATGTAATAACATATTACAACCTGAATAACAATCCTGTATAGCCATATTACTGCAAAAAAAAAAAAAAAATACTGTTTCTCAATTTTAAGATGTTTTGGATTTGATTATTTAAAATGTCTTTAAATTCTTTTAACACAAATTAATCTGCAGGTCAGGTGTGCTGTATTAAAATTGTCCATCCCACTAATGTTGAGGATCTCAGTGTGATCTCACCCCAAATTTGCAATAAAAATATTTTGTATACATTTATTTTTACCTGCCACAACTGGCCTTAATAATGACAAAGACATGGCAAATACCATATTTTAGGAGTACTTCAAGAACAATGAGACAACGGTTGTGCAGTGTAATTTGTAGATGACGTTGTAGTCATTTACATGAAATTACAAACATAAATGCCATTTATTCCTTCCAAATGCTAATCTAATAACTTAATATTTCAATTATTTGTTAATAATCCAATATTGATTAGTATATTTCAGTTTCACTAAGTATTAACAATTCATTTGACAGTATACTTGTTATTTAGGCTATAGTCACTATTCAAATACTATATTCCGTTCCCTATGAGGACTAGTCTAATACACTAGTCTGGAATAGAAACTATAGGCCTACCTGCATTTTTTTTTAGACAATTGCATTCCAGTTGTTAGTCTAACAATTGTGACAGATGCGTCTCATAAATGTGTACAAGTATAACTTGCTATTAATTAACACGTAATGTCTTGAACATTGGGGGTCCGTTTAGGTTCTCAATGTAATGACAATGTGTTTTTGTCCAAAAGACAGAATTAAAGTAATAAAAATAAATATTAAAAAATAGACTTGAATCTAAAATAAATATGACTGGATATAAGGATGCAAAGCAGCATCAAGAATATCAAATATTATCAGTGTCTATGGTGCACGGTTACGGCTCTGCAAAAAAAGCCAATTTGTTACAGTAACAACAGAAAAGTTATCACTGCTGGGCCTGGGATAGCTAGCGGCAAAGCAATAGTTTACTGGTGGAAC